CCTTCTTTTTTTAATTATAAGCTGCTTTGGCCAGATAACGGCCCTTGTCCCTTTACAGTACAAAATTTAAGCTGCAATGTGTGGTATTTCGGGGAAACAATTATTAATTCATTAACTAACTATTCTTCTTGTCCAAGTCCACTTTGTTTTAAAAAGACTTTTATGTATGACTTTGGCACAAGCTTTGCAGTTTCCTTAAGCATCTTATCTCAAGATTTACCACCTTCAGCCTTCTCCTCGCAGCATGAGCAAACTCTGGTCTAATTTTCCAGTTAATTGCCTGTCTTGTTTTTGATCGCATTTCAGTAGATTCCTATTCTTAGATCATACACATCGCACACACACCTTGTTCTTTAACCTGCGTTTCTCCCTTTTGCCCTCCCCTGCTGCTTCTGTTCCATTGCAGGTGTGATCAAAGACAAGGAACGTAAAATGGAGGATGATCTCAGCGTCTCAAGACCTGGGCACTGTGCATATCTGGGCTCCCTGCTGTGGGAACGCACCTTGCCCTACAATGAGATTGAATACGTCGACTTGGATGAATTTTTGCTGGAAAATGGTTTGCCCCCAAGTCCAGCCCATCAGTCCTATTCCCCAAGCAGCCAGCCCACCGCCTCACCTTCCAGCGGGGTAGTGGTAGATCTTAGTCGGCCGGCTTCTTGTGCATCATCATCTTCAGTCTGTTCTTCATCTGGTGAAGGTCTAGTCGGCAGTGATTATGATCAAAACTGCAGCAAGACAGGTAAATTTGGCTGTACATTGAGCAAGAAGATGGTGTGTGTGGGGGGGGGAGATGAAAACGTAGTGATTGGCTCCTGCTTTTGGGATGAGATTTGTAAGAGAACTATAAGAATCTCTGTTTAACTCTTTCCCAAAGTCTGTTTTTTCTATAGAAGAGAGTATTTGAAGCTCAGGGTTGAACTGTGGGGTCCTTGTTACTCCCTGAGCTGGTTTTTTTTTCTTGCAGGCATTTCATTACCCAACCAGGTAAAATATGCACTGATGGTATTACCTAGTTGGGTAATGAAATGTCTGAAAGAAACCACCAAGCTTCGAGAGCATCAAGAATCCCAGTCTGGGTTTTTTCCCTTCAGCTTTCAAATATTTTAGCTGTCACATCCAGCACACACTGATTGTAGGCCTAAAACCATAGATGGCCACACAAATATTCGTTGATAGTATTATAAAGAACACCATTAGAAAGCTAGGGTGCAAATTAGAGTTGCATTGCTATATGCTTTGCTTTGTTTTCCTTTTGCGGTGTCTCTATATCAGGGGTGGGGTACGATGGCCCCTTGTGGACTTCAACTCCCAGAATTCCTGAGCCATCATGGCTGTCTCAGGAATTCTGGGAGTTGAAGTCCACAAATCATCAAGGGGCCATCGTACCCCACCCCTGCTCTATGGGATAACAAGAAAGCATAATTTAAACTTGTCCTTTGAAGTTGTAAAAGGGGCAAAGTCATATTGTAATTTATATTTTATTTAAAGACACAAAAACTTGGGGACCTTGTGTGTAACAAAGCATTCTTTATACAAAAATAGATTGATTTGCAATGAAAGAGCAGCAAAAGAGAGGAGTATGTGTAGGTTTTTCCCCCCAGTTAGACAATTTTTCTTTTCTGAATCATTCCTTCCAAGCTACTTTTCTTCCTGTGGCTAAATCTGTATGAAGACAAAAGAACAGTGCAAAAGTGCATTTTTTCTTCCTTCTGCTCCAGATCTCAATTTTAGCCCCCTATTTTGACCCTTGTGCTAAGTGTACTCTTGTAGGTCCTATTTGACTAGCTCTTACTTTCTTTAAAAAGAAAGTTATTTTAAAATTATCACAAATAAATTTATTCTTGGATTATTAACAAAAAAACTCAAAGGTGCTTTTTTCTTCAAAAGACAATTGGACTGCTTTTTTCCTTGAGAAAGAAGAAGAAAAAAGTTTTGCTTCCCATCTAAGAAGCTTCATCAGTTCTGATAGTGGGGGGAATGGAAAAATAGGTTCATCAGAACTGATGAAGCTTCTTGGATGAGAAGCAAAACATTTTCTCCCCCTCCCCCTTCTTCTTCCTTAAGGAAAACACAACCCAGTTGCCTTTTGAAAGGGAAAAAAACACCTTTGAGACAATAATAGGTTCCTCTTACCTCCGCTACCAGTTTGGAACTGGGTCCACCCATGCTCGCTTCGCTTGCACGCGGACTTCCTGCGCATATGCAGAGCGTCTGTGATGTCATCCAGGTGGGTGGACGGAGCCTCCCGCCGCCACCATTACTGGTTCTCAACTATGACATAGTTGTTCTCATAGACAACTATGACCTGGATGACTGAGAATCTCCAGATAGATAACTGCAGAAAGACTATTCTTTGAAACATGGTGTATTATGCAGGCTTAGCAGTGGTGTGGAGGTGATAAAAAAAATTATTTTAGCACCCTCACTGGGTTAGAGAGGGGAAGGAAGGCAGTTTCGTGTTCCTCCCTAATTGTGGCAAGAATTATCAGTTTCATCTCCTCCTAATTGCAAATAGTTTTCAGTCCCACTTTCTGGTTGTGGTGGCAGTGACAGCCTTCTCCTGGCTGCTGAGAAGTCCAACCTCTCATTCCTACCCTAGTTTTCACATGCCAAATACAGACTGATAACGCAAAGAATTGTGCACTACTAGCACACATAGTGCACCTAGGAAAGAATGTTATTTTTAATCCCATCCTGATTTGTATTCTCTACCTGTTGGAAGTTTTAGAATTTCAGAGAAGTTTGGAGCTTCTCTGCGGTTGTGGAGAATTGTGGAGAGGACCAGAAAACAGATTTTATGGAATAGTCTAAAGGCAACTAAAATGCAATGTTCTGAAAATAAGCTTATCCTGACTTGATCAAAAATTCACAGCGGTCTTCATCAATGTGTGGACTTCAGCTTCCAAAATTCCCAGTCACAGAATTTTAATTATAGATATTGCAAGGAATTCTGGGAGATGAAGTCCATACAGCTAGAGATACACCTGGGGAGAAGTGATCCAATGGATGAAAATCCCATGTTATAATAAAATTGATATATTAAAAGAGTACATGGAATGGGATGGAGATTTAAGATAATTTACAACAGTAAAAACATTGCAAATGAATGCATATACTCAACTTTATTATTACTTTAACAGTCTTTCTGGCTTTGGTATGTCTGAGAAGTTTGAGTTTTGAATATTGTGTTCAATCCCCATGCTGAAAACAATAACTTCTAAACTTCAATTTCTTTGTCTGGATTTGCACAACATGCTAAGTTTGGTTAGTTTTAACCTTGTTTAGGGCTTTGGTGGAAGGATTAGCATGTTGTACAGGTCCATCCTGTTTGAATAGTTTATGGTTCAGCAACATTAGAAAATGGATTAATTCAGTAAACCAAATGCAAACCCCACCTCAGAGTGTTTTTAACCATTTCTGACTGAGCCTTGTTCTGATTCCCAACAGAAAGGTGGAGTGTGTGGATTTTTTAAAAAACAGAATAATAAGAAGTTCGTGTTGGATAATATTTAGAAAGCAATTCTGAATATTGCTTTTTGGCTTCCATTTAGAAGTGTGATAGTTGAGAAGTTGGAGGAAGTTTACAGAGCTTTGGATGGAAAACTGGTGATTGCAGTTATGGTGAAAAATATCAAGAGTGCAAGTTAGTGGGGATGAATTGATTCCATCCACAGTGTTTGGGGGTCCTTGGAGGATATGCAACACCAGAAGTGTGATCTATAGCAGTGTTTCTTAACCTCAGCAACTTTAAGCTGTGTGGACTTCATTTCCCAGAATTCCTTCAGTTCCCAGCATAGCTGACTAGGGGATCCTGGGAATTAAAGTCCGCACAGCTTAAAGTTGTTAAGGTTGAGAGACACTGCTCTAGAGTCATTCTTAGACCAATGGTGCTCCAGGTTGATTTGCACATCAGTAATGTTTTGATCACATCAGACAATATCATCAGTAGGGTGCAAAAGTGATGTAATTAAACTGATGTTCAAGATAATGCAGGTTTTCAAGTGAATTTCTAATTCCTATATTTGATAAATGTATATGGTCCCTCTCAAGACTTGATGGTACATCAGCCCTCCCTATCTCCCACTACCTCCCATAAAGTTTCTTCTCAGTTATGATCCTTCGCTTTCTCTAACTTGATTAGCTCAATGTTAATTGGATTAACATTTCTGAATCCTCCATCTCTTCCTTGTAAGATGTAAGCTGGATTCTCATAACACACTAAAACTCCATGGAGTTTGGTGACCCAGCATGGAAAGAAAATTCAGCCATGATCTTATCCTATTGTATGCCACCGGGCCATCACATTATGCCATAAAGTTTTAATTCTTTGAGCACATTGTGTGAAATGAACACAGAGATTGTTTTATTCATCCAGATTTATTAGTCGGTGAATCTAAGACCACTGCAAATATTTTTCTCTTTTATTTAAATCTAAAGAAAGAAAGTAACTGGAGCTCTTATATCTGGGGTGAGGGGGGTGCAGGGGGGAATCCAAAACTTTAAATACAGATTGCCTCCCCTCTCTAGATGTTCTTACATTTAAGTCACCCCGTCCTTCAAAAACTCTGTGGGATCCTTTGTGCTCTCTGAGCTTGGTGGTTTTCTTACAGATTTTTCATTACCAAACTAGGTAACATCATTAATGCTCTAACGATATCACCTAGTTTGACAGTGAAACATCTGCAAAAAAAATCACCAAGATCGGAGAGCATCAAGGACCATGCAAGTCAACCCCAAACTATGAATATTCTCTTCTATCTAAAAACTCTTCTGCCTTCCAGGAAGCATGGAATCCTGATATTTACCCTGTACCCCACATCCTTCCCCACCCCTCTTGTTGCTTTATCAGCTATGTTAGCATTTCTGTATATCAACAAGCCTCCATTTAAAAAACAGAAAAGCCTCTCCTTTGCATGAACACTGCCCCATAACTTGGGGATCCTAGATGTAAGGTCTTTGCTTCCGTGGGTGAAGCTTTCCCCTTTCTTGAACATTAACTGTGGGTCTCTTCCCCCCACGTTTGAATGTGTGTGCACGTGTCCTGGAGTAGAGGCCCAGCCCTAGCGTGCCAGGAGGCTGCAGGGAATCCCGTGTTACTGGTGTGCGAGAGCCCTGTGTCAACCACGCCCGCTCGGAAAGGCCCAGTCTCGTGTCTGTGCACGGAGCTTCCTGCTTTCGCTCACGTTTCTCACCCTGCCTCTGCGAACACATGTCGCTCGTCTGGGCTCTGCGCTCATCGCTCCTGCCAGCTGGCAGCCTGCCCCTTCCTCGGCGCAGGGCGGGGCAAGCGGGCACGTGGGGCTGCGGTGTGAGGCAGGCGGGCAGGGCCTCTCCAGGAGTGCCTGTGTGGCTCTCCCAGCGGGCAGGTTCCCACAAGGGGCCAGCAGCAGGGGCTTGCAAAGCGGGGCGGGATAGCCGTGGGGCTCTCCTCCAAAGGGAGGTGGGTGGAGCACTCCAGCAGGGCGGTCATTTGGGGTCTTCTAGGGGGAGGAGATTAGAAGGGATGATTGGCAGATGTCTGGGGGAGGGGGGAAACCATGGTACCTGGGGTTCTCCAACAGGCAGGAGCACCTGAGTTCCTTGGCTCTATTACAGTAGCAGGGAAAAAGACAGCATTACTTTGTTTACAGAGAAGGAGGAGATAGAGATGGTTTGCTAACAAGAAAAAGCTTGAATGCTGATGGGGAAAATGTGGGCTAGAACAGGAAATGGAGGTTAAGTGCAAAAGGGACTTTTGGATCCAGGATGGAATTTAGCAGCTGATTGAGTTGCAGGTTGTTGTTGGTGGTGAGCATTTAAAACTGCACGTTATAATTTATGAAGGTTATATTGCTTTGTGACCTGCATTTTGAGCTCAGGTTCTAGATCCTAAATCTTGAGAAAGAGGGAGAAGGTACCAGGAAATTTGGAGTTAGGAAGTCGGGGGTGGGGGCAGAATGGTGTTCCAGACTGGGGACTTGGGGAAGAGTGAAAGATTAGGAGGATTGTCAAGATATATTGAATCCCTGTTTTTTGGCAAGTGCTCTCATCATCCATTGCACAGGGGCGTTTCAACATTGCACAACTCCAAGCCATCTCTGATTCTGCTATCCACAAAATGACCTTCTCCTTCCCTGCCACATCCCCTGATTTCTGCAGGCAGGGTAATTTAATAAACTTTTAAAGCAGCGTTTCTCCATCTTAATAGCTTTAAGAGGTGTGGACTTCAACTCCCAGAATTCTGGCTGGGGAATTCTGGGAGTTGAAGTCCATGCCTCTTAAAGTTGTTGAGGTGGAAAAACACTCTTTTAAATCAACCATCCCTCGATTTGGGATGGCCAGAACAAGTTTGCCCCTGTGACCTTTCTCTGATTGTTTCTTAGGCCCTGTCAGACATGGAGTGCTCCAGAAAATCAATCTCTACTTAAACAGGGTTGTTTAACCTGCATAAATTCCCCAGCCCCTTCGCATGCCTCTAATCCTTGTGGTCTGCGCTGTTGGCTCAGGAGCACTTAAATGTATTGGGTTACTCTCAGTGGTGAAAATCAAATTTTTTTTACTACCAGTTCTGTGGGTGTGGCTTGGTGGGCATGGTAGGGGAAAGATACTGCAAAATCCCCATTCCCTCCCCATTCCTGGGGGAAGGATACTGCAAAATCTCCATTTCCACCCACTCTGGGGCCAGCCAGAGGTTGTATTTGCTGGTTCTCCAAACTACTCAAAATTTCTGCTACCGGTTCTCCATAACGTGCTGGTGGTTCTGGAGAACCTGGTTGCTCTCCATAATATCTTTTAATCCCTTTCTTGAAGAGTTGAAGTGCACCGAGAAGCAAAAGGGTTGGTTGGATATATGTTCATCAGGAAGCAGTAGGGGACCAGCAGGTAACTTTTGTTGGTGCTTTGTGCAAAATTCACCCGCCTTCTTCCTTATCTGCCACAGGTCCTATCACGCCAGTATCCCGAAGCACACCCAGCCCGGTAGACCCTGAGGCTGTGGAGGTCCTCATGAACTTTGACCCTGACCCTGCTGATTTGGCATTGTCCAGCATTCCAGGCCACGAGACCTTTGACCCTCGCAAGCATCGGTTCTCAGAAGAGGAGCTTAAGCCCCAGCCGATCATGAAAAAGGCCCGGAAAATACAGGTTCCTGATGATCAGAAGGTGAGCTGGGAACAAGGATAAGCTGCTGCTTTGGGGTTCAGAGGCCTTTTGCTTTCATTTTCTCATCCTCCTTCACGTGGTTGAAATAGCTTGGATGTTTCTTTAAGGAAGGGAGTATAGTATTCAGATAAAGAGAGAACAAAGTTACTCACAAACTAGTACAAAGTTACTCACAAACCAGACAATAAAAACAAGACCATAAACAGTTTTATGTGTTCATTGCACGTATAATAAATTCTTTGCCGTTGCATATAATAAGTGCTGCGCAGTTGGTTGAAAATGATTTAGGAGGAGGAGTTTAGATCTAGCGCAAGCCCAACACTTAACGTGTAGTCCTTTTATGACTGGTTCATTTAACAACAGTTTGAAGTTATGATGGCCTTAGGAAAAAAAAGAGGTACGACTGGTCCATGAAGTTATGACCATCACATCACTCTTGTGGTCACATGATCACAATTTGGTGCTTGGCAGCCAGCTTGCATTTATGACTGCTGCAGTCCTGCAGTCACATGATCACGATTTGAAATCTTCCTAGTTAGCTTCTGACAAGCAAAGTCAGTTGGGGAAACTGGATTTGCTTAACAACCAAGTGATTCATTCAGTGGCCATATGATTCACTTTAGAAAATTAGACTGGACTGGACTGGACTGGACTAGAATAGAATAGAATAGAATAGAATAGAATAGAATAGAATAGAATAAGAATAGAATAGAATAGAATAGAATAGAGAATAGAATAAGAATAGAATAGAATAGAATAGAATAGAATAGAATAGAATAGAATAGAATAGAATAGAATAGAATAGAATAGAATAGATCTTGGAGGTCTTCTAATCCTCTGGAAGCCATATTTTAACTTTGAGCCTTCAGGCCTGCCAGAATTTCTACTGTGAGAAAATGGGAGGGGGGATTGCATGGAGTAGGTGATATGTAGTAGTCTAAACAACATTCTTTCCAGAAAGTCAAGGCCACTGTAACCGGCAGCTGCGATGAAATAACTGAATAGAATAGAAAAACAGAGTTGGAAGGGACCTTGGAAATCTTCTAATCCATCCCCCACCCCCATACCATTCTGGACAAACGGTCCAATCTCTTCTTAAAAACTTGCAGTGTTGGAGCATTCACAACTTCTGAAGGCAAGCTCTTCCACTGATTAATTGTTCCAACTGTCAGGAAATCCCTCCTTAGTTCTAGGTTGCTTCTCTCCTTGCTGAGTTTCCATTCATCGCTTCTTGTCCTCCCTTCAGGTGCTTTGGATAATAGGTTGACCCCCTCTTCTTTGTGGCAGCCCCTGAAATATTAGAACTGCTATCATGTCACCCCTTCTTATAAACTAGACATAACCAATTCTAGTAAAAACGGATCTGATCACTTAATGACTCACTTAACAACTACATCGCTTAGTGACTGAAATTTTGGTTCCAGTTGTGGATGTTAAGTCAAAGTCTACCTGTATGACCTTTTTTAGGCTAAAAAGAAAATACATGGTTTAATGAACAGCAGAGAGGTGCTCTGCTGGTCGGGTTAGGTCTGAGTATTTTCAAAATGTCCATGGCCCTAAACACAGGGAGATGAAAACGGAATGCTTAGGTTCCCCCTCGTTTTTTCTCTTCACAACAATGAGGCTAAAAATAGGAATGAATCTCAGGGAAGCTTTATGGTAGAATGAGGATTTTAACTCCCATCTTCCTAGTTCTTTCCCTCCATGGTTTTACAATGGTGTGGGGAAGGGGAGCTGGAGAGAATGATACAGGAAGAATGAGAATTTTTACAAGTGGTTTAACAGAGGTGGAAGGGACCTTGCAGGTCATCTAGTCCAACCCCCTACCCAAGCAGGAGACCCTACATCTGCCTCTACCTAGGATGGAACTCACAACCTCCTGATTGTGAGGCAAGAGCTCCACCTCTAGTCAGACACCTTGAAGCAGGGTCTCCAAACTCCCAGGCCACAGACCAGACCAGTGGGGGTGGCCTGTTAGGAACTAGGCCGCACAAGCAGTGGGCAAGCAAGCAAGCAACGCTTTATCTGCGCATGGACAGGATCTGGGTTGCATGTAAAACCATCCTCTCCCTCCCCCGCCCCCACCCCTAAATCAGTGGAAAAATTGTCTTCCACAAAACTGGTGCCAGAAAAGTTCTGGCTGCCTTGAAGGATTTCACTTGTTATTCATTTGGTTGCTTTTCCCAAGCTGGGGTCCCTATCAATCAGTGGTGGGTTGCTACCGGTTCTACCCGGTTCGGGAGAGCCGGTAGTGGAAATCTTCATAGGAGAGCGAACCGGTTTGCTCTGAATGTCAGTTGGGCCCTCCCCCGCCCCCATGCTATACCTACCTTTATTTTATTTGTTTGTTTTTAGGCAGCTGTAAGGCGCGGCAGGGGATTGCCATGCCTCAGCTGTTTTTTTTCTCAATGCGCTTGCGCAAAGCGCAAGTTCGGCGTGCGTGCGAGCGAAGCTGGCATGCGCGCGGCAATCACACCCAAAGTGCATGCGCGATGCGAACCTGTGTTAAAACTGATTAGAACCCACCACTGCTACGAATGATGTATATATATTTTGACTCTCAGAATGCCTTTGTTAGCATTTGTTTCTTTATTGATTTATAACTCACTGTTATAAATCTTATAAAACTGTTCAGAAAACCTGAAGCAGCTTCATGTCCCTTGCAGAGATGGGATTCAAATTCCGGATCTACCGGTTTGCTATCGGTAGCGCACGGCGCTTCTGCACATACACAGAGGGTTTTTGATGACATTTGGGTGGGTGGGTGGGTGGAGCCTCCCACTGCCGCCACTATCGTTTCGCCAGAACTTGGGCAAACAGGTATAAACCCTCCCCTGGTCCCTTGCTAACAATTCTGAGTTGCATCTTGCACATCTGCAGGCCGTGTTGAAGAAAGATTGGATATTGGATATTTAGTGCCGCTGAGTCCAATTCTCTGCTCAACGCAGGAAACCAGATTAAGGCTTCCTCGGTGGAGAGGTTTTCAGCTTCTGCTTGAATGCATCTGTGAAGGAAAACACACCATCTCCAGGCGTGCTATTCTACTACCAAAGTGCTCTTAGATGTTTGTTTCTAATCTACAAAGCCTTCTTGCAATGTACAATCTAGCATTCCATATTCTGCTGTTCTGGTCATGCATGACATCCTTGAAAGTATTTGCACAAGGTTGTCCTATCTCCACTGTGCTCCGTCTTCCGTTCTGTCTTTATAGGACTTGGTTTCTTCTCCCAGGATCACATTCATTGATCTTTTCCAAACCAGTTGGTTTGGTTTCACTGTTTTTTTTTTCTCCCCAAGTGCAACGTGCCCTTGAAGAACTGGCTGCAAATTTGATTGGGGAATCTGACCTGTGTAGGATGTAGTGAAACTATTAGTTGTGTAATGTGAAAATAATCCTCCTTGGCATTCCCCTAATCTTACAAGGAAGCTAGAATCAAATAAGTAAAATAAATTCAGAAAAGCTTGTTCTTGAAGTAGCCATCTTGACTTCAGGTAATTATTGCATTGTTTTCAGGGCGTTTATAGATCAGTCACTTTATGATTGCTAGAATTTTCCCATCTATCAGTGACAGGTTTGTGACTTCTTAGATCCTCCTTTCCCTCTTTTTTGAAGACGGATAATGTTTGTGCTTCCTCAATCACTAAATCACTTCTGCAGGGTTCGTCAAAGGTTCAACCAGACCATCAACAAATTTCTTCAGTACCGTAGAATGCTATTTATCTGGCTGTAGAGACTGAAACTCATTCGAGGGAAAGATGCATTCTTTTCCAGACGTGTGTGATATTTGGTTACAGAGTGGAAAAGGTGCTATTGGATCCAATACAGGTGTATTCAGAATTTTTCCTGGGCTGGGAGATTTTTTTTTTGAGTTGAGAACATAGCGACAAGGAGTCCAGGTAAAAGAATCAAGGGGCTGCCCACAGTTAGAGCAAGTAACACCTGCTCTGTAACATGTTTTCTGCTTTAGAGCCAAATACTGCAGGCTACAGGTAATCCTCAATTTACGACCGACGGGTTGGCAATTCTTCAAAGTTAGAATGGACCCCTCCCTCAAAAGGTACTTTAAACGCAGTTTCAAAATTCCAGCAGCCACCGCGCCCCCCCCAGTCACATGTCACACTTGGAAACTGGCCCATATCATGACCACAATTTATTGTTTTTGCCAGTAAACACAACCCATTGGAAACAATGAGTTCACTTAATGACTGTGACATTTGCTTAACAACTGCAGCGTTCACTTAGTCACCATGGCTGTTGCTTAGTGACTGCAGCATTTGTTTAATGACCACAACAAAAAGATTGTAAAATTCTACACGGTCCTGGGGTGACCTGCTTAACGGTCAGCATGACTTAACAATGGTAACTCTGGGCTCAATTATGGCTGTAAATTGAGGAGTATCTGTAATTCCTTGCTTTATCTCAGTCCTGTTCCTTCATTTCAGCTTCTCAAATTAGAGAAGACAGTGTCAAAATAGAAGTTGAGTGGGCCTGTTTTTTTATTTGTTACCTGTTATCAATTTACCATTTCTGCTCAGCTCCTTAATTTACTGTACAGATAGTCCTCAACTTACAACAATTCACTTAGTGACTGTTCAAAGTTACAATGGTACTGGAAAAAGTTGACTTATGACCATTTTTCACACATATGACCATTGCAGCATTCCCATGATCATGTGATTTATATTCGGATGCTTGATTCATATTTATGACCATTGCAGTGTCCCAGGATCATGCGATCCCCTTTTGCAACCTTCTGACAAGCAAAGTCAATGAGGAAACCAGATTCACTTAACAGCTAATTTAATGTTACTAATTTAACAACTGCAGTAATTCACTTAAGAAATGTGGCAAGAAAAATCATAAAATGGGGCAAAACTTACATAACAAATTTCTCACTTAACATAAATTTTGGGCTCAATTGTGGTTCTAAGTTGAGGACTACCTGTATCTTCTTTTTTTATTCTGTATTTATCTAAAAAGGTTCTTATTTATTATTTCTAGCATTCTTCATCTACTCGGCTCTTTCTTTTAGTTCTATTTCCTAGCACTTTATTCTGGGTTATCTGCCTATAATGTTTCATTTTTGCTTTTCAAATGGTTGCTAAACTTTCCTTCTACTCTTTGAAAGAGAATATTGCCAGGAAGACAAAGTAGGAAGCTTTGCAGAATTTCCAGCAGATACTGGACTAACTAAACTCCCCATCAGTGCCACTTCACACTTCTTGGCAAAATCTGCCACTCATTTGCATGGATGGATTACTTTTTTGTCTGGCACCACTGAAAGGTTATTGAATGGAGATTCTTCCTCAGCTGAAACCCTGTCTTGGACTCCAGCTCTCTCTCTCTCTCTCTCTCTTTTTTATCCAGGGTAGTCCAATACATTGCATGCCCATCAGGTTAGGAAGTCGTGACGCATGAACTAAAGCAGATTCTTTCAAACTTGGAAGGTTTAAGATGTGTAGATTTCAGCTCCCAGAATTCCTCAGCTCTTCGCATTGCCTGTTTTCCCTTGAGGTTTTCACCTCTGGGTTATTAGCTACAAACTTTTCTCCTCGGCTGGCCCTCCGCCAGTCTTTCGCCCCGGCACAATGGCCACAGCCACTCCCTCCTAGGCGTTTCGCCGCAGCCCATACACACAAGGAGGTTTCGTCCTAAGTTTTTCGACACCTGGGACAGTTAGGGCCCAACAAATCAGCTAGAGGGAGAAGGAAGGAAGGAACAGCCTTAGTGAAATGGGAGGGAGAAGGAGGGAGAAGTGGGGGGTGGGGCTTCCACCTCTGGTTTTTTTTTCCGAGAGAAGGCCAGATATTCAAATCGCTAACTAATGACAATGAATAATTTATGGCATTGATTCCCACCCCCCAAAAAAGGGGGAGAGATGTTGGCAAACATCCCATTCGAGATTTAGAAAGGAAGAAAAGGAAATTGTAAAAGCACTCCGTTCCTGCTTCTGCCTGTTCCCCCAGTTCAAAGGGAAGCACTCCTGTTTGTTTGTTTTTTTGTTTTTTTTGCAAGGGGAAGAGTTAGTTACAATTAATTTCTTAACCAAAAGCAACAGATAGTAGCGCTTCCTAAGGAGAACTTGGAGAGATTCATGTTTAGGAAAAATCCCTTTCAGACAAGGCAGCTATCAAAGATCTGATAGACACAAAGGATGACTGTGTGTTTTGTTGAGGGAAAATGTCAAGTGGCATATCACCAAGGTTAGATCCTGCGTTGTTCAAAATATTTGTAACTGTCTAGAATGAGAGGTTAGAAAAAAGCAATTATCATATTTGTAGATAATAAATATATGAGAGATAGCAAATGCTTTAGAGGGCAATATCAAGATTCAAGGGCATCTTGAAAAATTGGGGAAATGGGCAGAAACAAGCACAATTAATTTTAACTGGGACAGAAGTAAAATCTTTCATTCATGTAGGAAAAAACAAAGATTTGGTTATAGCAAATAGTGTTTGTGTGTGTGTCTGTGAGTGTGCTTGTGTGCTCCTGAGCAGACACCCTAACTTAGATTTTACATCTTCCTGCAACAGACAGATTCCTTTCTTCACAGTGTTTATCTTTTGTTATGTTTTCCCTCCTTTTGTCTTCCTAATTGGCCACTTATTTGGTCCCCTATTAACAGCACAAAAGGTGTGTGGTATGCCAAGTTGTAACACACACACACACACCATCCCCATCCCCTCCTGCACAAAGGTCTCCGGAGGAGAAGAACAGACAAACAAACTGAAGCGCTACTATCTGTTCTTTTGGTTAAAAAATTAATTGCAACTAACTCTTCCCCTTGCAAAAAATTAAAAAAAAAAACACCAGGAGTGCTTCCCTTTGAACTGGGGGAACGAGCAGGGGCGGGAACAAGTGCTTTTACAATTTCCTTTTCTTCCTTTTTAAATCTTGAATGGGATGCTTGCCAACATCTCTCCCCCTTTTTTGGGGGTGGGAATCAATGCCGTAAATTATTCATTGTCATTAGTTAGCGATTGGAATATCTGGCCTGAAAAGAGTTTTTTCCTTGTCTCGAAAAAAAAGCCAGAGGTGTCCCCCCCACTTCTCCCTCCTTTTCTCTCCCATTTCACTAAGGCTGTTCCTTCCTTCCTTCCTTCCCCCTCTAGCTGATTTGTTGGGCCCTAACTGTCCCAGGTGTCAAAAAACCTAGGACAAAACCTCCTTCTGTGTATGGGCTGCGGCAAAGCGCCTGGGAGGGAGTGGCCGTGGCCATTGTGCTGGGGCGAAAGACTGGCAGAAGGACAGCCAAGGAGAAAAGTTTGTGGCTAATAACCCAGAGGCAAAAGCCTCAAGGCAAAACAGGCAAGGTGAAGAGACCGAACCGAAAAGTTCCATTCCGTCTAAACAGAGATCCCACTGTTTTTTGCAGGACAGGAATCATCTTTAGGGGGTTAGTTGAAGGGTACACTTCTAACAGTAGGCAGGGCCAGGGTGAAAATGGAGATTTGTTTTAATTATTTTCAGTTAATACCGTAATTCCCTTGTAGTTAACAATGTTCTTATCACAAATGCTCTGCGATTCTTTGACTTAGATATTAGAGGTTTTGCTTATGAAAATTACTTGTGCTAGTTGTATCATCCCTGATTAATATGACATCAATCCTATGTTCCTGTAAGATATTATGTCAAAAGAACTAAAACCCACATGATGGTTTAATTTGATGGATGTATAAACACAATTTGACAAGGTTGCAGCTAAATCCCCAATACACTGAATCACAAAAGCACACTAACAAAAGCAGAGAGCCAGGTAGCTTCCCCAAAGACTTGTTGAGTAACTGGTGTTATATAGCACACTATCTAAAGCTAATTTTATTTTTCTACTGTGGCTGAAATTTGGGTTATCTGTACAAATTTGATTGTGAAGCTGAAGGCCATATTCAGATTTCTCTCAATTAAATAATTTATAGCCTATCTTTATTATTTTTACAAATAACTCAAGTGACAAACATAATATTCCTTCCTCCTCCTATTTTCTGCACAATAATAACCCTGCAAGGTGGGCTGGGCATTCAGAGAGAGAGAATGGCCAAGAGTCCCACAGGCAGCTTTCATGCCTAACACAGGATTAGAACTCACAACTTCCTGGTGATTGGCCTAAAGTCACCCAGCCGGCTTCCATAGCTAAAGCAAGACTAGAACTCACAGTCACCTGGTTTCTAGGCTGGGGTCTTTACCACCAGACCAAACTAACTCCCCTATATTCAAAAGGAGTGAATATTTGTATCAAAAGTTGGAGGGAGTGGTGCAGTGGCCTAGAGGTGGAGCTCTCGCCTCACGATCAGGAGGCTATGAGTTCAATCCTAGATAGAGGCAGATATTTCTTTCTCTGGGCACACTGAGCATGTATCTGCTGAACAAAAAACTCCACATTGGCGACAGGAAGGGCATCTGGCCACTAAACACTCTGCTAGCTCCATTCAGTTGCCCAGATTCCACCCAACAAGGGATTATGGGGTCATTAAAAGATGATGATGATGATTTGTATCAGAAGTGGGAATTTGTACCCAAAGTGGGTGTGCTCACTATAGCTATCAGTCTCTTTTTTAAGGTGCCTGCCATCAACAAGATCAGCAAGAGTGCCTGCCCCAGATGATCCAAACACAGCACTTCTTTACTTGGAAAGATCATTTTAAAATCCATATAAAACCCTCTGCCAACTGCATGCAGCTGGTAGAGGGTTGGGCACTCCCAGTTGCTTTTCCTAGTGTTGTTTGGCTCATAAAAGTAAAGCAATGTATTTTTATTCTGCATACGAACATTTAAGTGATGCAGAGCCTTGTGGGAAATTGTCAAAATTATCTAGTGTGCAATACTTACGTGATACTTCCTTTTACATGTCACTTTTTTCTTCTTTCCCTCTCCCTGCCCCCGCCTTTTTCACGTTGCGCCCAGGATGAAAAATATTGGAACAGGCGGTACAAGAACAATGAGGCAGCAAAACGCTCAAGAGACGCTCGCCGCCTGAAAGAGAATCAAATCACTGTTCGGGCGGCTTTTTTGGAGAAGGAGAACGCCGTCCTTCGCCAAGAAGTGGCCAATATCCGCCAGGAACTAACCCGCTACCGCAGCATCCTCTCTAAATATGAATCTCAGCACGGTACCTTGTAAAACCCACAGCAGGGCGCTGTGCTCTTCTCCAAGATCCCGCCACCGAGGTGGTAGGGCCACCCTGGTTTTTCAACCCAGACCCCCTGTCTTCCCAAACCAGGCAAACAAATAATCCAACGACAGATGTTTGGAACGAGGGACAGGTCTGCGGTGAGCACGTTCCACCTGCAGGGACTAACCATGATTCTGGGTGCACAAAGGAGAGTTCCTAGGTGGGCATGGCCCACCCCTCACCCAGAACAGGACAGCAGCCAAGATGTTGAACTGGGCATAGTAGATACCTGGAAGACACAAGGGCTCTGTAGCACGTTGGAAGATGTATTGCACACACTAACACATACATGTGCACGCACGTTCTCTCTACACCTGTATTTTAGGGTTTGGCTTGTAGGTGAACTCTCGATCCAAAGGGCAATTCAACCAGAGACCATAATGTCTGCAAGCCACTGTTCTGTGTGGCATTTGGACGGGACTTGGATATGGATGACCCAGGAGCTCTTTAGGCAGATCTCGGTGCCTAGGCTCAGTCACACAAATAGTTTTTTTTTTTGTTTGTTTGTTTTTTTTTCAGCAGATGATTGCACACAAGTTTAAACTCTTTCTCATTTCATCCATCGACTGTGGGGTTACAATTAAGGGACAGGCAAGCCAGCTACAAAAGTGGATGTGATATCCAGGTTTTCTGGGCTCATCCCTACCACTATGACTTTACATGCCCCTCTCGAAGACGCCTCGAAGTCTTGGACACCCTGAATGGAAAATCCTTTTTGAGATTAGTAACCATCAAGACTCTTCTGTCTATAGAACGCCAAATTAAATCAAACGGGTTGCTCACTCATTTTATTTCCACACTTGGCCGAAGGGGACTTTACATCTGATGGCAAAGCTAGGAGTCCTTACTTTTAATTGTTACAGTTATATTATTCTCTCTGTTTTTAGTTAAAAGAGGCAAGTGACTGCATCTGTTTCCTCCTAGCACTGCCCAGTGTAGTGTCATGTGTACAGAAATGATAAAACATGAGACCTCATTTGTGTCCCTTCTAAATATGAAATCTATATAAATACATACACACACATAGATATATATAGATACATATATATATTCAGTTTCGTTTCATCTCTTCTTTTGTAAAACAGAAAATGTGTGGTTGCTATGTGTGTGTGTATATATGTGTATATACACGCAGCCACATTCACTCCAAGCAAGATTTATGAGATTAAACTATGTTCTTCTATTAAGGGAAGAATGGTTCTTTCGTTCAGAAAGGGAATGCTGGACAAACATGTTTAAAAATCTCCTTTGGAGAGATTCCTAATCTTTTTAATTTTCCATGTAACAGTGTTGTTAAGAACTTTTGGAGAGGGGTGGATGGCAGTCCCCCCCCCCAACCCTCCCAAAAGATGTTTACAATTATATGCTACAAGCAATGAGGAATAAAGGAAGATGGGATTTTACAAAATACAATCACTAAATAAATTTTCTGTCTCTGTTCACATATCTGTCTGTAGATGTAATGCAGACATACACATGAGATAGTTCCTTTGTGCTGTATCAGCTTCTATTTTTATAGGCCGGGCCATTTTTGGCTTTGGATCAAACAACCACTTTCCTTTTTGTTTTGTTTTTTTAATTTTACAATTCCCTTTCTATAAAGGTTGGTGGAGGCTGTTTATACGCATGGGAGAGAACGTGAACAAGGAAAGCAACTTTTCTGTAATAAGAGCATCTTGAAAGATTTACATATAATGTTGTCACATACTGGTAAGCCTTGCACTTAATGACCATAATTGAGCCCAAGATTGAGCGGCCTTTGGTGCTCTCTAAGTTTGGTTGTTTTCTTGTAGACGTTCCCTTGCCCAAATGAAGTAACATCATCAGTGCTGATAATGTTACCTACTTTGGGTAATGAAACGTCTGTAAGAAAACAAACTCAGAGAGCACCAAAGACCCCTCAATACCATGATTTGCATGATTCTGATCTTTGTAGATAAATGGCTTATGTAGCAGTATTTCATTAAATGCATGGAATAAAGGCAAATGCAGGGTGTTATGTAAGACACAGAAGTTCCACTGCTTAAAAGTTGTTGCCTCCTGAATGCTTCCCATTATCCTAAAATATAGCAACGCTGGCTAAAACTTATAAGAGATCCAGCATTATCTGTAGGGCCAAAAGTTCCTTAACCCAAGTTATAGGTTGGTGGAAATCCTACTTGAGACTCGACAGAGGTGTCCTGATCTCTGGAAAAATCCAACCTCTCCCAGTTTGTGGCATTTGTTAGGCAAGTAGAAGGACAATGGAGATGGAGAACGGAGATGGATGGAGATGGAGAACGGAGATGTAGTTGTACAGCAGAAGTAAAGCCAGACAAGGTCGATCAGATCAAATCTTGAATAGAAGGCCATTGCAAGCCCACACCCATTCTGTGGGGACATATCCCACAATATAATAATATACAGGTAATCCTCGATTTAGGACCTCAATTGTGCCCAAGATTTCTGTTAAAGTGAGACATTCGTTAAGTGAGTTTTGGCCTGTTTTGTGACCTTTCTTGCCTCGGTTGTTAAGTGAATCACTGCAGTTGATAAGTTAGTAACCCAGTTGTTAAATGAATATGGCTTCCCCAGTTACTTGATCAGTCTCCATCACTTCTTGTCCTATTCTCTGGTGGATTAGAGAACAGAATATAATAACAGAATTGGAAGGGACCTTGGAGGTCTTCTATTCAACCCCTTGCTTAGGTCAGGAGAGCTTATATCATCCTGATCAAATGGCTGTCCAATCTCTTCTTGGAAACCTCCAGTGATGGAGCACCAACGACTTCTGGGAAGGAAGTCGTTGCACTGATTAATTGTTCCAATTTCTCCTTAGTTCTAGGTTGCTTCTCTCCTTGATTGGTGCCAATTTAACCCCCTGGAAAATCTTCCCCCAAGATTTTACATAACAAACGTGAGAAGTTATTCCACGAACCCCTTTGTAATGCCATGTATATTTTCTCTTTTCCTACTCCCTCTTCTCCTCCAGATCTCTCGGTGGGAGCTTCGTCTCCCTGCCCAGACAGATCTGGAGGGTTGGGGGTGGGGGGCAGGTTGGAGGAAAAAGTTTGATTCCCCCACCCACACCTTTGGACACCACAATGATTATAAATATGAACCAGTTGCTAAGCATCGGCATTTTGATCCCATGAGCCTGGGAATGTTGCAAAGGTCGTAACGGTGAAAAGTGGTCGTAAGTCATTTTTTTCAATGCCATTGTAACTGAACGGTCACTACGAGATAAATTGAGGACTACCTGTATAGAAGTGACCTTGGGAGATGAGGGAGGGGGAAGGGATGCTGCCTAAGGAAAACTCAGATATGTCCACAGCTGCATAATGGGCAGAGAAAAAGAAAGGAATTTCCTTCTCAGCTGTAAAAGTGACGGGGGAAAATTGTATTTTCAGATTTGAAAGATTGATGTCAACTTTGCCAGATCAGTTAATTCTACTTTATTGTAACAGAATCTTGCAAGTCTGACTGTCAGGGTTCCAAGTAACACCCCCAACGAAATCAAACTCCGAGGCTTGAAGTTCCTCAAAGCTAACTTTTATTAGGGATGTCATATTGGCACATCTGAGAAAATCCGAATCTGAAAGCTTCCAGGTTTTCCTCACCCACAAGAGAGTTCAAGGCCTTGCCCACATCTCCCACATGTCCGCACAGCTCCAATCAGTTCTTTCCTGAACAGAAGACATCCTCCAATTTCTTCTTTGCACAGCTGCCGGACACCATGGCCTTGAACGTCTCTTAGAGAAGTTTGTTATGGCTTTCTCTACTTCACTCATGCAATCCCCCCTCCCAACTTCCCATGATATGCTTGTGGCAGGCCTGGATCCTCAAGGCACACAGGTAATATGGCTTCCAGGCATGACAGGCGGCTCCCTCTCAGAAGAGACACGTGTCCTGTAAAGAAAATAACGTTTGGGTGAGTTATTCACATTTAACCACCCCTCCACCTCCCACGGGGACCCTTTGGCTTGTCCAGGTATTTATCATGGAATTGTTTAATCAGTCTATCTGCTTGGACGTTCCAGCTTTTTACCCAGATGGCGTCAGACAAAAGGTACCCTTTCCATTGTATTAGATATTGTAACTGATCTCTACATTTTGGAGTCTAATATCCTCTTTATCTCATAATGGGTCTCTCCTTCCACCACAATGGGGGGATGAGGTGGTTGAGTCTGGGGTCTTACATTAGTTCCAACAGATCGTTTCAGCAAACTACAATGAAGACTCCACCTGGTGGCCACCTGGTTTGACTCTTGGTGATAACTTGGGTGGCCAACTGCAAATAGGGAGGGATTAGGGCGTGGACCGCTTTCTCTCGGCAGCTGTCAATTTGAGGCTTTCTTGAGAGCGCATCTGCCAACACGTTTTTCCCTGCTGGTATGTATCTCAGTTCGAACTTGAAACGTTTGAAGTATTGAGCCCAGCGGACGTACTTGGGGGGCAATTTCCTGGGTGTCTTTAGGGCCACTAGGTTCTTGTGGTCCATCCAAACCTTGAAAGGCTCCTTGCTGCCTTCCAGGAAGTGTCTCCAAGTGAGTAACACCCATCAAATGGCATAAGCCTCTTTCTCCCAAATGGCCCATCGCCTCTCTGTATCATTAAGTTTCTTGGATATGTAGGCACATGGTAGCAACTGCCCCTTGGGGTTCCTTTGCAGGAGTACTGCAGCCACTGCCACCTTGCTGGCATCGGCTTGGACAATGAATTGCCGCTCTGGGTCTGGATGTTGCAGAATTGGTTCTTGGACTAACAGTCTTTTCAGTTTTTCAAAAGCCTTCTGGCATTCCATTGTCCACATGAGTGGCTGCGATGGCTTTGGTTTTGTTGGTGGGGACCCCGTCTTTAACAGTTCGGTTAGGGGCAGCGCCACCTCTGCAAAAGCCTAAATGAATTGCCTATAGAAGTCAGCGAACCCCAGGAAGCTTTGGAGCTGTTTTCGGGTGCTTGGGGGTTGCCAATCCAAAACAGCTTTAACTTTGCTTGCGTCCATCTCTATCCCGTCACTAGAAATCTGGTATCCTATGATATCAGATTTCCAGAGTCTTATGAAACTCGCACTTTGACAGCTTTGCGTAGAGTTTGGCAGCGAGCAGTTTTTTCAGCAGCTGCCAGATGAACTTTACGTGTTCTTCCAGCATTTCGCTGAATATGAGAATATCGTCCAAGTAGACCAAAACCCTCTTGTATAGGTGCTCATGCAGAATCTCATTAGTAAACTGCATGAAGACTGCAGTGGCCCCCTGAAATGGCATCACTTTGAATTGGAAGCTACCAAGCGGGCAGTTGAATGTGGTTTTCCATGCATCCCCCTCCCTAATCTGTATATGGTAGTAGGCTTCCCTCAAGTCCAGCTTGGTAAATACTTTGCCCTTTGATAGGTGATTGAGCATGTCCTTCATGAGGGGGAGGGGGAAGGTGTTCTCCACGCACACCCTGTTAATCCCACGAAAATTCATACAGAGCCTCATCCCCCCCGTCTTTCTCTTTAAACAGCACAGGGGCTGCCACTTTGGATTTTGCAGGCTCTATGAATCCCTGTGCTAGATTCTATGTACTTGTATTCCTTCATTTCGGTTGGAGTCATTGAGTACATTTTTGGTTTGGGAAGTTTCGCCCCCAGCACGAACTCTATCGCGCAGTCGGTCAGGCAATGGGGGGGAAGGAAGTTGCAGTCCTCTTTGCTAAGTCTGCCTGGTAGGATGTCCCGGGCCGGGACAGCAGCCTCTGGAAGGGTTGCTTTTTCTGGGTTCATGATCTCTGGGGTGGGGAGTTCCTGGCTCACTGGTGGCAATGGGCCCAGTCCAAAGACTATTTTTCTGTGGCTGCCATCCCAGGAGATCGTGGGTCCCCACTTATCAAGCAATGAGAGCCCCAAGATTATGGGATCTGTCATCTTGGGGGCGACTACAAACCGGTGGAATTCTTTGTGGTGCCCCAGTTCTAACTTAATGAGCTCTGTGAGTCTGGTGGCAGGGGCACCGCCAATTAGCGAGCTGTCCACCTGCTCGAAGCTGATGGGCTGTCAGAGGGGGTGAGTGCATATGCCTAGTTGTTCGATTATGTGGGGGCTAATTAGGCATCACGTGCAGCCGGTGTCTATGACAACCTCCACTTCTCCCTGGGCTCTGGTCTGGGGGGCCATTAGGGTAACTTTCAGGGCAAAGGGGCAGATGGCTCCACTCACCATCAGGCA